TAGCAATGCAAATTCACATACGGTATAACAGTCATATTCGGGAATAGACAGACGAAGACAGACGACATAGATGTTGAACCACAATCTAAAACGTGGTAAACATGGTAAAATGTCATTAGTTAGTTTAGTCACCGACACATCGTATAGATCAACCTATTCGTGATGGTGTCCATAAAACTTACGGAGTGTCATTTTTAATCTTTCCACCTTATAACTCTGTTGAAGCAGTTTCTGCGTGAAGAGTACACTTTTCCTGTATATGAAGTCAGTTTAGTGTGAACATGCAAGAGCATAACATAACGTATCAATTACATGAGATATGTAAACACCATACGACGGAGCAAAGGATATGTACCTGCTTGGAAAAGGGAAATTGATAATTGGGAAGTTAAAATCATCCCGTTTGTCATCATAGTCATAGATTTAAGTGTAAAGTCGTCCATCTGTGTCAATATTGGCGAAAATATCAGGGCATGAAACAGTCCATCTTGTATCAGTAGTATCCTTAATTTCAAATTCACTTTGTTTCTTTTTTATTTCATGTAGGTGTATTTTAAAATTTTCATTTTTGACATAAAGTTGTTCATTGTCATTGTGGCAGAAGTGTCAATTGCGCCTATAAATTCGGCTTGTGAAGAGAAAAATTCGATTCAAACTACACTGTCTCATTCTAATAAAAACTTGAAATCATAAACAAAATAGGCCGAAAGAAGGAAAACTTTGGCTAGTAAATATTGCTGTGAATCTTCCTGTATCATGAATGCAAAATAAGTATCAACTGAAACGAAGATAATTTTCTATCACAGATTTGTCGTTCATTGTAGAAAATGAGCTGAAATTTTGCGGACATTACACGTTTCAAAATACTTGTAAGATTAACTGTAAGCTATACATGCTATATGCCTTGATAAAATATGGTGTAATTATAATAAAATGTTATAAAATGTTCTTTTTTTCTGTGTTATTAAAGAGAAAAAGGTGCCATGTTTATCATTTGTCGACTAATTTTCAATGGTTTATATCTTAAAACAGGGACAGGATCCTTTCATTTTTTGATTTTTAAGTTCTGTTATTCAAATACTATCAATTAAAAACAGACTTTAAAAAAATCTTAATATATTGATACAGCCGCGAACATTCTCATACTTTGTTACAGATTGTTATGTTCTTTTGGTGAAAATCCTCAAACAGGATTATAGATGTTTATGCAAAGTTATATTGCTGGGTCTTCCAATGCTCCGAAGTGAATCATTCCAGCCAAATTTTCAATGGCTTATATCTCAAAATCAAACAAACAAACATCACAGTAATTTCTGCTTTTTGTTTTTCTTCCGTTATATCTATACTATCAATTTATCATTTAATAACAGTCTTTTCAAAAGATTTTTGTTTTGAAACTAAATAGTGAACATTCTAATTAAAAGAGGATATAACCATTAATCAATCAGTAAACTTTACTCACAGATATCGCTCTATGCTTTCCTCGTTTTTTTACTTTTCTTTTTATCTGATTAAGGAAAACGTTTTTCTTCATGTGCAACATAATCTGAATCAATTTGAAGAGATAAAAAAATCATAACAAAGGTAGAACGCAGTTGGTAAACAAGGAATCCATTATATCAGAGTTTAGAAAGGGATACTAAATAAATTCCTGCTTTCTTAGAGCTTTCTGGTTTACCCTTATTGAAAATATCAAACCCAAACATTTCAAATCCATACATGTATAAATACGTCGAAACGTTTAGAGTCATGTGGCCAATAGGGAGATAAAAAGAATACATAAATGCATATCAAGCTAACTTTACTAGAAGCTGTTGGAATATTAGTTTCCTAATTTATAAATTATTCCAGGGGGAATATTAGAATAGTAGGTAAACCATTGTTAATATTGTCACTACGGAAGCACCTGCAACCAAGCTGATAATACGTTCGAGAAGCTACTTTTTTTAGTCTTTAAATAAAAAAACATAGATTGCAAACGATTAGAAGTAGTCTTGTAAAATTGACAAGTTTTGGATGACGAGTACTTTGACATTTTGAATACACGATTTATAGACTTCTGTTTAGTGGTATTCCAAATAGCATTGACTAATCAGTACAAATTGGCATATGTTTTATGTGCATCGTCTTAATTACAAAAAGTACAAACATTTTCTTCTAGAACGGTCATTTGATCTCAAAAGCTGTTGAATGAACAATAAATAATGTTAAAGTCTTATCCATTATTTAATTCAATTGTCAGACCTATTCACTATACTTATACATATACTACATGGTCAAGTAAACGTTTATATATTTTTATACAAATAACAATCAATAAAGGCTGTAAATTACAATATCCAAATAAGTTAGATAACTTATTTAGAAGAAAACTTTAAAGGTCTCCCAAATAACTGCGTATATAACTTTTTGAATGTGGCATGTTTTTTTACCTGTTTAAACTGTTTGTTTTGCTCACACATTATTGTCAATATATTGGTATTCAATGCGACTGTCTGACAGTTAAAAGGTTTAGCTATATATAAAACCAGATTTAATTTTATAAATAAGGAAATACATGTGCAGAGTCTGTAATATGACAATAAATTTACCATTCATTCAGTGTGTTTGAGCTTGTGATTTGGCCATTTAAAAAAGGTCTTTCCGTTTTAAATTTTCCTTTGGAGTTCGAAATTTTTTATATTTAAATTTCTATAATTGTAACAAATTATATGTGAACTTTTACAAAAACCGAATATACACAGAGTTCATCAATTTTGAAATGTGCCGAAACGGAAAAAACAATTTTAAGTCTTCCCGGTGAATAATTATATATGATTACCTACTCTGGTAATCATTCTTAAAATTGTAGCAATATATACTCATGTTATAAAATGTTTATAATTAGGCTCATCAAAAAAGAAAATTGTGATGTAACCTTTTACGTAAATACCAATTTAGAAATGTTAATGATCTAATAAAATTGAAATACCAAAAATGTGACAGTAATTAAAAAAAAAATCTCGAACTTCGTAATGTCTCTATGATTAGATATTATAAGTACTTTTTGAGTTTTACAAATTCATGGGATAATAGCCTCTCATACTCATTTGATGAACAGACCTCTCTTGGGTAAGCATGTGAAATTTTCAATATTTTCCGTGACTAGATTTGAATATTCCGGTGCTAAATTTGTGAACTGTTGAATTTAGAATTACTAAATTTATGATTACTCTTGATATATAATGGCAATTATAGGAGATTCCGTACAGGAATTGTAAGTATTCTCTCTGATTTATATGGTTGGTCGTATTGAAAAAAGAAAAAACACGGCAAGCAACATTTAATATAATTAGAGTTCCTTTGAATAAAATATAAAAAAAAAAAAAATACAAATACATAAATGATTGGGAAACTTGAAAAGTTTATTAAATAACACAAGTTTGAAACATCATTTAATCCAATATATGATGGAAAGGAAAGTAACAACTAAATATTGTCTTGAACTTCAAAAAAATTATCCCTGTTTGAATATCTGCTTAAAAACAAAATTAGTTTTAAAAAAACGAATTATCCCAACATGTCAAGCAAGCCGATTGCATGATCTGCAAAGTTTTTAAGTAGTTTTTCTTTAGAACAATTCTTTATAAACCGGATTGGACAAATAGCGATAAGATGTATAAGACAAAGACAAACTAACAACGCCATTGCCAACTACGAACAAGATAAACTAGAATTTCACTACAGTGTATCCTAGATTTTCTCTGCTGATTACACCGCTATATTTACCACCATATACAAAAAGGAAACAAAGGCATTTAATTGAATGACGGAAAAGAAATAGATATCCACGTTTTATATTGATATAAGCGGCGAAAATTTTAAACAAGTTAATAAATTGATTGATGAAGGAATTTTCAAAAAAATTAAAGATTTGAATAAATGAGAAGTTTTGGAATCTGCTTCATAGAAGGATACCAACAACACTTGTTGGCAATACACCTAATCGCTATTTATTCCATTCCGGATAAGTTCTAAAATTACACAACTTTTTTATCCAGTTGAAGCTATCTGGAGCCCTGTTTGAACAATGCACCATGCATGATAATTTTTGATGAGATCTGTTTAAAACATCGTAAAAATTTCAAACAAAATATTTTTTGACTATAATTTGAGTTTCGAAAAAGTGGATCATAATCTATCTAAGTTTCGTATTGATCGCCTTCCAAATTTGTCCCTCCCTCAGCTCTTTACTGATGATCTTGTTTACCTGTTCAAGGCCTGTTGACCCAAACAGGAAGTTGTCTAAATGACTCTTTTTCCGGATTGGACAAATAGCGATAAGGTGTATAAGGCAAAGACAAACTAACAACGCCATTGCCATAAAAACAAAAAAAAAGTTCATAAAATAAAACACAGAGCAACATAAACCCTACTTCAACCAGAGTGATCTTAGCTGCTCCGGAAAAAGAAGGAACACTCTTGTAAAACAATTGTCATATTCCTGAATTATTACAGGCATTTCCTTATGTATGAAATGGTGGATTATACCTTTAAAAGCTCGTTAAGCCTCTCATTTGTATGGCAGTTGCATGCAATTCCATTATGTTTACAACAATGTGATTGCAAAACAAACAGTCGTAATATTTTAAATGTCAAAAAATTTGTTACAGCGTTCAACATTATGTTATAATCTTAATTAAAATCAACTATGTAATCAACAACAAAAATAGCATATATACACTCTTGAGACAAAGCACATTAGCAAAATTGATGGATAGGCATACAATAAAATAACCATACCACAATAAAATAATGACAGGATGTATTAATGCCGAGCCACGCTAAAAGAATTTTACCCAAAAAAAACTTAACTGTACAGGTTAAATATTTACAAAGATAAATACAAAGAACACTACGAAACAAAATTAAGATAAGGGATTGTATTCAAATAGCATTTATTTTACAAATGATATGATACTTTTGACAGTGCTTATTTAATCTTCCATGTATTACTACAGGACAAAATGAAGTATCTTCTGTTGACCCTCTTTGTATATGGAGTCTGCACATTGTTTTCTACATCAGGTGAGTTAGTGAATTGATAAAAACTAAAATTTCTTTATATTCAATAGAAAATGAAAGGATATGTAGACAATGTACATGGGACAAAATCGCACACAATACATAGAAAACATAGAAAATTATCAATGAATAGGGCTTTTATTCCTGTTCTTCATCTTAACAGTTGATGTAGGGTCTTCATCATAATTGGTTGTTGTTTTATAAAATATGCTAGATTTCAGGGAAAATATACTTAATTGTTGCTTGCATTACTTAAAAATTCATATTTTTCTTCTATATTAGAATTAATGCAACATCAATTGCAACCAAACGTTATTAATGCCTTTAAATATTAAGTAATTTTTAAAATATATAAATAATAATACAAGGATAAATATACTTATACTTTAGTTTGTTTCCATTAAGAAAGCAATTATTTGTTGATTTCAATGGTTTAAACGTTTTAAAATACCAATATTTCCACGTTTTGTCAAAAATACTGCATAGATCATAGCAATCAATTGTTTGAATTGACGTTTGATAAGTTAATTTGGATACATTTGAATAATATAAGGATTAGTGTATTTAGATTCTTCTTTACGTTAGATAGGAGTGCATTTTTTTTCTCATTTCATTAAGATTTAATTACACTAAAAGCATCAATGGATATGAATATTTTTGTTGGGTTGTGCCCAAAACTATATTATGTATATGATGAATTTTGAGAGAAAATATATTCTATAATTTGTTTGCATTGTTTTCGAGTCTCCAACTTGCGCATCTCTGTATTTTATTGAAATAATTCACAGTAATTTGAATAATGATCATTTCATTCATTTTTCGGAGCATTTTCGGAAAATAAAAAAAAAAAAATTATCGCCATAACACTGTTTTAGCACTTTTTGGGATTGAAAAGAAATAATAACCAGTTTTGAAAATGAAAACGAAAATTATTATACATTTATTATAATATTTAAATTTAGTTTTATTTGCATACTTCTCTCATTTTTTATTTTTAAAACTTCTCTATATAATAAATAAAAAAAAATGATATTCTGTACTTGAACGTTTCGTATATTCATGGCATCATTTTAATTAAATGAAACGAAACTAAGATTCCGTAATTTGTACGAGTTCATCATATGGAGTAGTATGGTTCAATCCGCTCGAAAGGTCAATTTGTCCGATCCGTCCGATCAGTCAAATATGTTTGCCATAAGTCTGACGGATTGGTGACTCGAGTTTGACGCGAACTTGACTGATCGATGACCGCTAATTAATCGTTGAATTAGTAACACCTAAGTGAGCAGGTACTGTAAAATACCAATCTAATATCTGTCCCTAAATGAGAGGATTTTCCTTTGATTGCTACCATGTCAGCGTATGACATCTTATGATTATAATGGATTAATTACAATTAAGTGTTGGAAATGTAATAAACCACTTGCATTAAAGTCGGAAAATGAATTGGTACAAAAATCAATTTTAGTTACATTTAGGTATACTAAAACCTAGGTTTTTTCGATATAAATAAAAATCAAAGGAGTCATATGTCTTTGGTCTATTTCAAGAAGCAGTGGTTCCACTAAAAACTACGAATTCTGAAAGTTCGTATTTGATACTCCCTATCAACGCATGCTAATGACATAAACGCCGAAACGATCAAACGAATGTTTTTACTAGTTTTAAATGCTCGAAAGAAAATTAACTTAGTAAAAATCATACACTCAGTTGTTTTATCTATCCTTTTCAAGACATGTTGATCACAAAAACGTCGACATGGTAATAATGACATTAAAAGTGATCAAAAGTGCACAAATTGTGACAACTGACCTTTAAATATACATGAATAGATATTCCTCTTACAGCAACAACATGTCACGACAGATATGTAAAATGCAAGGATGGTATTCAATGTGTGCATCACATGTTCCTGTGTGATGGAGGCTATGATTGCCGTGATAAATCTGATGAAGATGATTGCGAAGGTAAATGATGAAATAGTATACTAGATAAATTGTTTGCAATTGTATACCCCTGACGACCAAATTTTAACTGATTGTTTAATATCCCAGAAACAACTTACTCTGTTTTGATAACAGAATCTTTCATTTTTTTTATGTGCATGTCTATTGCAAATGTATTGAAAGTTTTATTCTAGCAATATGGAACTGTTGTGCAAACAAATGTTTGAATTGTTCATCTGACACGTAAGACTTATTAGAAAATAAAATTGAGAATGGAAATGGGGAATATGTCAAAAAGACAACAACCCGACCAAAGAGCAGACAACAGCCGAAGGCCACCAATGAGTCTTGAACGCAGCGAGAAAATTCCGTACCTATAGGTGGTCCTCAGCTGGCCTTTAGATAAAATGGTGTACTAGTTCAGTGAAAATGGACGTCACACTAAACTCGGAAACATATAAATGAAATAAAATTAAACCTTTTAAACGGAGGATTTTTATTTCTTACAGCAGCCAAATGTCGGAAAGTACTTGTTAAATGTTAGGATTATCTTCATTGTGTTCATATTGTTGACATGTGTAAAGAATACAATGATTGTCCAGATGAATCAGATGAAGATCTGGACTTTTGCAAATATAAACCACATGTAGATATGTTCGAACATTTAAACAAACATATTAGTAAAGTTTATCTTACCAATGTTGTAATTAGATCTTTGAATATAGTTTACATTGGCACAAATATCGATTTTGTCATCAACAAATTAAAACATAACTAAATTTGTATTCTTTTCAAACCGGATATATAAATACACATCCACTTTCATTTATTTCTATATACAGGTTAACTCCTAACTATTCTACTGCCTATTGATACTTTTTGTTTTGCATTGTACAAGTCATGTCTTCTTTGACTGTTCATGACGTTAAGTAAGTAAATCCCTGGGATGTGTTTTAGTTGATTTTAGTCTCTGATGCATGATTTTTTTATTATTAATTGTTTTCGGCTTTTAACTAGGTTTCAGTAAATGCGAGTTCTCTCAAATCGTTCTTCCGTGTTAATTTGACCTGTAAATACAATTTTAATTGCTCTTTTGTTTGTTAATGTTTAATTTTTTATTGTTATATCTCGTCTCTCTATTCTAATATATACCAGCTTTGATAAGTGTTTGGTATGACTATACATTTTTACTTCTGTTCTTGTACTATGAACATCATAATTATTTATATTGAAAAAAACATTTCCGTTTTCCATTACTATATACCTTACAACGAAATTATTTTCATTTACCTGTGCACATTATTCTATTCGGCGGCATTTTGTTCAAGGTTATGGTTGTCTTTCTGAAATTGTTTAACATCTCACCCCTTATTCTATTGATTTTGTATTTACATTGTGTCATAGAAAATGTTTTTTGTTCAGGGTTCACTTGTGTTAATATGTCTTTTGTTTGAGTTATTTCATTTTCAATAAAAATTTATAATGTGTCTTTCTTTGTTCTGATGTCACACTCTTGTTTCAGGAAAGGGTGAAGGTTGGTACTTATTCACACGTTTAAACCTGTTGCATTTATTTGCACATGTCCTAAGTCAGGAGCCTGATGTTAAGTGGTTGTCGTGTGTTGGTGTGGTTTAAAAGTTTTTTCGTTTCTCGTTTTTTTTTTTTTAGATTAGACCGTTGGCTCTCCCGTTTGAATGGTTTTACACTAGTCATATTTTGGGCCCTTTATAGCTTGCTATTCGGTGTTAGCCAATGCTCCGTGTTAAATACGGTACTTTAACCTATAATGGTTTACTTTTACAAATTGTGACTTGGATGGAGATTTGTCTCCTTGGCACTCATACCATATCTATTAACAGTTTTTACTTTTATTAAATACAATACAGAATCATATTTTTCTAGTATGCATTTGTTTCATACATAAGCTTACATAATATCTAAATTTGATAAACATAGCATATTAACATTTCTATATATAAAAAAGTTAATGTTTGCCTACTGATATGATGAATAACCTTTGAAAATTTTTATAAATAATTTTGCCTTGCTGCAAGCGGAACATTTCGCTTGTGTCGGTATTAACCATTTTTTACTTCGTATTTGATTTGACTTTCAAACTGTTGATACAATAGCCTGGGATCACGGCTCACATCTCGACAGTAGAGCCAGGCGAAATACAACGACATGATTTTGTCAATTGGATGTTAGAAGGATGCATCGTCGGATAGCGTCATTTCTTGACACATGGCGGGAAATATTTATATTGTCACGAATTCATTGAAAATTATTTTTCATTTCATATGAAATGCAAATTTCGAAAAATTTAGCACGTATAATTCAAACGTTATTGATTAACATCGTGAATCAACTGTAAGTTAACGATGCGATCGATATATTCCTTGTTTATACAACATGCTCATGCGCAGTAATTCATTCCTGTTTAGCGCTGATAGTTGGTCACGTGGATTGTATTACGCCTGGTCCTATCGACGAAGTATTAGATTGGGTCAGGATGCCAGGCTATTGATACAAATGCCACCAATAAGACTTATTAGGTCAACAAACGCGCCTGTCGAGGCACATTGAAAGCCTGTTATATTTAAAAAGGGAGAATCAAAAGGTCTGTATTTCTTGTTTATTGTTAGAGTAGGAATTAGGCTGTTCCTTTCTATTTATACTTGTTTTATATTTTGTCATATCGTGGTCTTTTCAAGCTAACTATATATAATCCATTTTGATCTTTGTAGAAGAATTTTAGAGAGACCTAAAATTATTGATAAGCAAGTGAGAATTATCCAGTAGGAAATTGTTTTTTTCTCATATCATTTAAAATGATTGACCTGATCATTTTTATCTGTATTTTTTGCTTGATTTTAAAATCTACAAAAAAAACGAAAAATAGTTAAGGAAAAGTGTAAGAATATGCATTACAAAACAAATCATTCAGAAAAGATGTTGCTCTTGTATCTTTTGGAATTACAAAATCCTTGTATTGAACACTTTAGCTTGATTACATAACAGTCGAAATAATCATACTACATGTAACTTTGTTTCGAATTGCAAGTATACAAATTGTGAATAATTGACCTCTAAAATTATGTACTTAGTATATGTTTTTTTCTTCTGACAGTAACCAAATGTATTGGAGGATTTGTAAATTGCAAAGAGGGTGTTCAATGCGTGTATCACAGGTTTCTGTGTGATGGAGACTATGATTGCCGTGATCGGTCTGATGAGGATGATTGCAAAGGTAAAGGATGAAACAGTATACTACGTACATTGTTTGTAAATTTAGTACAAAATGAAAAACGTGTATTACCTGAATCATACATTTCAAGACACAATATAACATAATAGTAAAATGTGCATGACAAAAATGTGTACTATGCATTGCATATTACAATCCAAAACATATTGCCAAATTAAGTAACTTTGATCATGTTGATTGGTTGTTTTTAATAAATTTACTGTTTTCTAATTATTTTTCATATAGAAGTCACGATTGTACAATGATTTAATGACATTTGTGTTAATTGAAATAGATACATACTAGTAGGTTGACCTTTAATAAAGTATTGTGAAACAAATAAATCTTGAAATTGGCCCTTTTGAAATATTTTTCAAATAAGTACCATAATAATATAACTGCAATTAGCTTGTTCTATTTTGTCAATCATTAACGTAACTTTTTAGCTTAATTTCAATGGTACTCTATAGTTTTTTTTTATTCATATACTAATGTCTTAATGTCATAATATGAACATACTTCTCCCTTACAATCATAATACAGTATTTCATTTAAAAGTAATAAATGAAATTATTTCTCAAAGAGACATTCTGACCTTAGTTCTTTTAAAGTTTTTGTTTTGTTTTCAAGCTGATTAAACAAAATTGTAGTTTGTTATGGAAAATACATTTTCAAATTTAAATTTGAACGTTATTGTAATTGTAAACTGTTTAATATCACTATAAACATTATCGTAATACCTAAATCAACTCCTGACTTCAGAAAATTAAGTTAATGTGTGAATTTGGAAAAAGTAAGATAAACAAAAAATGAGAAAAAAAAATTACATAAGTTAAATCATAAATCTTTCATTCAGATCGATAAGGAAATAAGTTCAAGTTTGTTTTCTTAAAATTTAAAAATGTGTATAGATTGAAGAGAATTGTTTCAATAAGAATCTTTTTTGAACGAGAACTGTATCATGTGTATATTAACAATATTACAAATGTTCAATTTATGATTTGAGTTATATAATTAAAACATGTCACCTGATTCTATTTCAACTCAGACAGTTACGTTATAACAAGACATGTTAATGGAACTTTACAAAATAATCTCAAAATAGATTTCCAAATTTCTTTTTGCTTAAAGTTGTACTCAATCTAAGAATATTTTTGTATCACCTTGAATGTTTCATAATTGTTACTTCATAGTTTAAGAAGGACTACGTCTAATCGTATTTTTAACGATGTACCATTGTATTGTGATCTTTTCTTTTCAGAAACTAAAAGATCTTTTAGTGATTTCTTGGGTTATCGCAAAATGGAACGAAGATTACAAAATTGAAGATTGAGACAATTGGATGCTGCAAGCTTTAACCTCTGCAAATTATTGATATTATACCTATTAAATAGATAAAAAAAAACAATAGTATTCTTAGAATTCATTGAACTTTGTATGTTAAATATATTGAATAAGTAGCAGTATTTCTTAAAAAAGATAAAAATCAACGTATAATTCAATAAATATTTGTATCTGGTGAATAAACGTGTTACTTAATTTGTGTGTATGGCAGATATTTAATGTGATCCATATGTACTTAGTAAAAAGATTTCATTGATGTTCCATTTACATGAACAAAAAACTCCCTTTTATTTTCTTTAGCTAGAGGCAGTTGGAATATGTGTTTACTTAAAACAATTTCTTTATTTATCCACAGGAAAGATCCAAAATATTTATAGATAATTAAATTTCATAATGCTTTTTGGTGTTTTATACTATTGGTGTTGTTCTGTGCACTTTTTAGATCTTTATATATATAAATAGATATAAGAAGATGTGGTATGAGTGCCAATGAGACAACTCTCAATCCAAGTCAAAATTTATAAAAGTAAACCATTAAAAGTCACAGTACGGTCTTCAACACGGAGCCTTGGCTCACACCGAACAGTAAGCTATAAAGGGCCACATTCAAACGGGAAAACCAATGGTCTAATCTATATAAAAACGAGAAACGAGAAACACTTATGAACCACATCAACAAACGACAACTACTGAACATCAGATTCCTGACTTAGGACAGGTGCAAACAAATGCAGCGGGTTTAAACGTTTTAATGGTACCAAACCTTCACCCTTTTTCTGAAACAATAGTGTAACATCACAACATAGAAAGATATTTAAAAAATAATCAATAAACTCATTTCAGATACCAGGATTCAAATGACGCGTGTTGCCTACAAAAGCCTTGTCAGTTGTGCACAAATAACAAAATGTTGAATAGATTAAATAAAGTACGAAGGGGAAAAACATCAATGACCTACAATGCAATTTTATTTTCATTTTGCAAATTCTCGACACGAAGCATATACTACTTACAAAATCACTCAACAAGTACTAAGTACCGATCTAAGAGAAATCTCAGTTACTGAAAGCTAGTTCAGGGCCAATTAGAACTACATGTAATATACAAATAATGTTTTCTCAGACTTAAATACTCATCAGTACATACACATATTCTTAAGAGTAAATACGTAAAAAAACATTCGTGTTTATTACTGTTTAGCGACGCAAAGTCAAGTATGTTATAAGGAATGTTATGCTACTGTCATACAAGTGAAAGGTTTAGTTAACTATAGAACCGGATTCAATTCACCATTTACTATATAAGAAAATGCATGTCAATCCGCCGTCAATCGAAATTCTCCATCTAAATTTAGCACTTTTTATAATTGTGTCAAAGGTGGCAATGATACTGCAGCTAGATTATTAAATAAAAATGCAGGTGGATATCCACAAATATTTCCGTGCAATGCAAACAATGACAAACCTGATGTAGAATATCTTCTGATAATACTATAAAGTCAACAGTGAACGGGAGAGCCTTTTGGCTTTCCTTTTCCTGTGACATTACATGAAAAACCCAAAGCCTCATTTATCTGGTTACACGAACAAAGCCAAAGCGTGGTATACAATATGTAGAAAAAGGACGGGAGTTTTTTTAAACGAACACAGCAACATCTATACCGCTTCCGAAAACCTAAGAAATTCTAAAGTATAATTTATCAACATTTAGGTAATCACAACCACAATATTAAATTTATTAGATTTCAACCGCTCGAAACGATCCAGAAACACCAAGGGCAATCGCATAAACAATTTGAAGATTCCCGTAAAATTATCGAACTGTCTTGGATTAAACGACTTCAAACAGCTTATCCCCTGGGTCTAAGTGACAATATACTTGGACAAGGGAACATATCTACAACTTCTTCTATTGATATCATGAATATTATAGATAAAAGACAACGAAATAATAGGTCTCATGGCAAACGTATCAATCGAAATCAACGAATAAACATCGTATAAATTATACACTTGGTAATCTCCTATCTATACTTAAAAACAATGGTAGGCATCAATTACTATGTAAACTGGGTCAAATACCAATTAGTAAATTACATGATATTTTCAAGGAGTGTGACACCATCTCTTTCTTCAGCCCGATGTATGAATATTCGCGTATAATTACAGCCTTTTGCCACCATAGGCTGTTCCCGCGAATCGACAAACCTGAAGATCATAAACGTCATTTTCTAAAAATTAAATATATTAGCAGAGGTATTGATTTTATCAACTTATCCAGTATATTTAATGACTCTACCGTTCAAAACTTCATAACTCCCTATTTTTGATAACACAGAATCACCTATTATTTCATACACATACCAAAAACTCAGCAGAAGTTTAATTTTTAATTATACGACGGTAACATTAGACGTCAATGTAGAAAAAAATACTCCTTTAACTTGAAACTGTGAATCGTCGAAGTTTAAATATGTTCCCTATGGTGATGTTATTACGGGGGACCTCAATATCGCCCAGGACAGAGAGGTTAAAAACTTTTTGAAAAAAGGACCAAAATATCGTCCTCCATCTAAAATAGATTGGAAACAGTGTCGTCAGGTCACCAAAGATGCTCTTTCCTCGTTTTGTAAAAAGTGGTGTAAACGGAAAAAATCTGATGAAAAATCTCTTGATTCGTATTTAAATAAATGTATGAATGTGGTAGATAATAGAATATTTTGAAAAAAAATTTAGAAATAAATAATAGAGTACATAATACGCCCATTTACAGAAAAAGAAATAAACTTCAAGAATTTTCAAAGCGGTTTGTATTTGTACCGGCCGACAAAGCAGCCAACAATGTGGTGGTGGTATGCCGTAAATATTACACGGACGTTCTGAAGAATGAAATTTTAAATTCATCTACATTCAAGTCCATGCGCCCCACAGAGACTCATATAGTTAACAAACATATCATAACCACATCACAGCTTAAGGCTTCTTCTAAACATTTGAAGGTCCCTACTATGTATTGGTTACCTAAACTACACAAAAAACCAGTAAAATATCGTTTCATCTCTGCCTCTAGTAAGTGTTCTACAACTAATCTTTCAGTGCTTTTAACAAGTTCCTTAGCTACTATCAAAGAGCTTATCATAAACTATTGTAATAAAATATATGAAAATAGTGGAATTAACTGTTTTTGGAGTGTAAAAAATTCTTTGGATGTTTTAGATAAATTACGTGCTTTTGATGGTCCTTTTGATTCTGTTGACAGTTTTGACTTTTGTACTCTTTACACTACACTTCCACACAATCTTATCAAACAAAAATTTGACTTTTTAATTAAATGGTCGTTTGGTAAATCTGAAAGCAAATATATTTGCTGCAACTCATTTAAAACGTTCTTCTCTAATGAGAAAGGTAAATATGCAAGATATACTTACTTGAGGTGTGATGAGATGATGGAAGCTGTTAATTTTCTCCTTGATAATATTTATGTACGTTTCGGCAACAAAGTTTATCGACAGGTTGTAGGTATTCCTATGTGCACTAATTGCGCCCCTTTAATAGCAGACTTGTTTCTGTACTGTTTTGAATCACAGTTTATGACCAAACTCATTAAAGACCAGTGTACATTGCATTTAACTGATAAATTCAACAACACTTACCGTTATCTTGATGATATTTTTTCGTTAAATAATCAAGAATTTTCTCAATATACTGCCGAAATTTACCCAAAGGAACTTACTTTAAATAAATCAAATTTAAACGGTAACAACTGTTCTTTCCTAGATTAAGATATTTCGGTTTAACACGGGAAACTCCACACTAAAATTTACGACAAAAGTGACGATTTTTCGTTCCCTATGGTTAATTTTCCCTTTTTGGATGGTGATGTTCTGTTGGCACCATCTTACGGTGTTTATATTTCACAGCTCGTTCGCTATGCCCGTGTCTGTTGTGACGTTTTTGATTTTAACGAATGTAATCTATGTATTACTGGTAAATTATTAAGCCAGGGATTTCGTTACCACAAATTACTTTAAACCTTTACTAAATTCTTCCACAGATATAAAGATTTGGTTTTGAAGTTTAGTTGTACCTGTAGAAAACTTATTTCAAACGGGATTGCACATCCTCATTTTTACGGCAATTTTGTTTACCGTGCCCGGAAATTTAGAAACGATCCTGGTAAACTTGTCGATCCTTTAAATAAACTTATTCTTAAAGGTTTCCAAATTCAACACTGTAATTACATCATTAAATATTGTTTTTATTGGTACTAATATTGATTTTGTTATCAGCAATTTAAAAGCAAACTAAATATTATTGCTATATACATATACACGTTCATCGATCTACAATATGTCGATACCTGTATCTTGGCATTGCACAAGGTCATGTTTTTCGCTGACTGTTTATGACGTCTTTACACTAAATCCATTGGATGTTGGATGTGTACGGATTGATAATTTAATCTTAGATGCATGATTCATTTTATTAGTTGTTAGTGACTTTGAACTAACTGTCAGTAACTGCGAGTACTCTCAGATCTGTACTTAGTGTCTTTTTGTTTTTTGGATGTACAACTACCCGGTCAAGTCCACTTGTATTTGTAGTGTTTGTATTTTATCCATCTCATGAGTTAAGCCTCATTCAACTGATTTTTATAGTTCGTTCTTATATTGTACTGTTACACCACTGTCCCAGGTTAGGGGGATGGTTGGGATCCCGCTAACATGTTTAACCCCGCCACATTCTATATGTGCCTGACAGTGTCCCAAGTCAGGAGCCTGTAATTAAGTGGTTGTTGCTGTTGATCATATGCGTAATGTGTTTATTGTTTTGTACAGTTGTTGTAGTGTTTTGTTGCACCACTGACCCAGGATTAGGGAGAGGGTTGGGATCCCGCTAACATGTTTAACCCCGCCACATTATATATGTATGTGCCTGTCCCAAGTCAGGAGCCTGTAATTCAGTGATTGTCGTTGGTTTATGTGTTACATATTTGTTTTTCGTTCATAATTTTGTACATTAATTAGGCCGTTAGTTTTCTCGTTTGAATTGTTTTACATTGTCATTTCGGGGCCTTTTATAGCTGACTGTGCGGTATGGGCTTTGCTCATTGTTGAAGGCCGTACGTTGACCTGTAAGTGTTGATTTCTGTGTCATTTGGTCTCTTGTGGAGAGTTGTCTCATTGGCAATCATAC